GGAGGAAGAGGTGTCGATGTGACAATTTTCCGCGCGTAAAGTGACGTTAAGTGGCCTATATCACTCCTATTCACTGAGTATCAGCGGACTCGTATATATCTTTGCGGCGAGAAAAATCGGCACTGAATAGATTATTAATTTTAGCAGAGAGTAATCAGCGCTAAATTCGCCAGCTGGGTTACTTATCAAAATAATATTATTTCATATGACATAGATTTTTAATTTCAAAAGCTTCTAGGTAAAGCCTTCTACGTACCTTAAACGAGGAACGACGGTAAGAATCAGGAACAAAATCAAAATTCCAGCCAACACTCCTGCAAGGCTTGTGGCCAGCGGACCTGATCGTGGCTGTTCCTCAGCTGAGGAATAACAATTCTTTCCTTTTTTAATGACACGCTCGTTTTTTGTATCCTCATCAGATCCTGTTCTGGCATGATCGTAAGGAAGTTCTAAACGTAGCCCTTCAGACTCTTGAGTTCGCGGGGTAACAAGTATGTTGGGAGTTGGTGTTGCTGTGGTGCCGCCAGGTCGGGTAGGGGCTAGTGGTGCTGCTGTAGTCCCGCCGCTAGGCCTTTGCTTTCCAGTGACTGTATCTGGTGGCCGAAATTTATCTTTACCACTGTGTGCAGATTTTTCCGTGTCGGTTTTAGTAGCACCACTTCGATTTAAAATCCTTTCCGAATTTGTGTATGGCGTAGGGGTTGACGGGATGATTTTTCCTTTAGAAGATACTGTGGTCAATTGGAGAGCCGCGGGTCTCATTTCTGTTTTGAACGATTCGAAAGGTTTGCTTGTGCCCAATGTTGAAATTTTTGAAGGAAACACAAATCTATCCTTCCCTTTGTTAGATCCTTTAGCAGAGGAATGTTTTCGAGCCTCTTGTGATGAAGAGGGCATCTTGTGTTTTTTTGCTGCACGTCTCACAACAAATGTTCGTATGAACGTGGCGGGAAATTTGTCGATCTTGCTATCTGTGGGATTTCTGTTTTCAAACTTCGAAGCATCGTTTGACGCTGGCAAACCCTTTCCGCCAGGGACATGACTAATCATGTCATCATCAGATGTGAATAAATCTGTGACAAGAAAAAATTGTTCGAGAAGTGTGACAGTTCAATCAGGTCATGTGTAGGGAAAAAGGAGCAAAACAGAAAAAAAAATTTTCTCTGACGCTTGGAAATTCAAATGCCTTTTAGTTAGCTAAGATCTCGCAGTATTGTGAGGTAATTCGATTTTCGTCTTTGCTTTTATTGTTTCATTTTTTTTTTTTTTTTTGCTTTCTTTCCTTTGTTTTGTTTTGTATGTCTTTAGAGTATGCGGTTTGAAGTGTTAGACGAAATGCAAGCGCATTATCCTGTTTTCATCAGGCCACATGGGGCGTTAAATTCGATGAGCTTCGATCCAAACGTTTCTTTTTAGACGCGGACAGCAGCCGAAAGTTTCTTACTTCAGGTGTTTACCACAGCTTTTTGGTCTGTACAGTTTGGTTTAAAATGCTAAAAAAAATAACCCATTGGTTGATCCGTCGCTGTCAAAGTGCGCTACAGTTACCGCTTCCTTAAAAACAGCTCAAGATGTTCTTTAACAGGCGGAAGGCATCATGCTTAAGATTTTTTATCAAATCCTAAAGCACTATGGCTGTAACACTGTTGAGCTGCTCTTCAATAAGGTTTTTCGCATCGGAGATATTTCACTAGCAAATTTCCAAAGTTCGACTCATTGTACCGGTGATTCTTACCTTTACCAACTGTATATGTGATCAGAATGCACAATATGATCAGGGTGGGAACTTTTTCCTTCTTCATTTTTGTCTTTGGCTATGACCTGTGGATAACACAACGACTTCTCAAAGCAGAATGAACAATTCACGTCACAAACGACTCGTTAGTGACGTCTAGAAGGTTTTTGGGCGCGCGCTCGCGCACGAGGTAACACTCGCGACACACTCTCTTATAGTAACGCTAGACACGCAACTTGGCATCAGCGTCCTAACCGATTCACAAGAGCCCTCTATCTTCAAATGCATTTAGGAGGCACATTGCAATAAACCATAAATTTTGGTTTGGATGATGCGCTGATGACAACCATTACAAATGTATAAAGATTGTACAAGTTTGGCTCACTCCTTGCTTCCCCTCCCCGCTTTGTGTGTTATTCGAAAACACGTGGGATGTGCATGGTCCAATTTATCACGCCCAGAGAGCTAGAACCTGGAGTAGGAGTTTGGATGATTAGTACAGAGAAAGCTCTTTGGGAAAAAGTAGGCAGAAGATTTATTTGACACATTGGGAGCATTCCCCGGACACTTTTACATAATTATGTGATCGAGAGGCTTCTTGTCGCCCAAAGTACATGTACGTCTGGAAAGCTCAATAAACACATATCGCCCAGAACGGAGCTCGTGATGCGTATTGGATCAAGCCCTAACAAGAACTGAATCATTTTAGCCTCTTCGCCAAGCTTTTCCCAAGAAACTTAGAAACAACATTGGGTATAAGAACCTGGTGACAAGCGCTAAGCACGAGGGGCTATGGGAAGGGAAAAATGGGTGCGTTCCTATCCACTTTTTTTTATGTTGTTTTGTTTTGTTTATTTTTATATTGTTTTTGTTTAGCTCTCTTCTCTCTAACAGCTTTTGCAGTCGTTACGGTGGCCAATTTACCATTTCAACTTTGTTGATATATCCATAGCTAGACTATGGCAGATGGAGCAAACGTCATTTGAAGACAGGTGATGAAAACACGAACACAACAGACAAAATGCTGTAAGGAAGGGACGTCACTTTTCTATCAGACGAAGATCGCACTGGGACTGGTCTTGACCTCGTTGCATGACCTGACAAAAAATGTAAATAATATTCAAATGGGTATATATATTTTTTCTTTGCTGTGACAGAAATTAATAATGGAATATTTCTAACCATCTAGTATTTGTTTGAAGGCTGATAGTTTCTAAAGAAACTGTTTGGGGTTGCGTCGGTGGGGGTAACGAAATAATTTGGATATATCAACAAAGTTGAAATGGTAAATTGGCCACCGTAACGAATACAAAAGCTGACGTTTCGAGCGTTAGCCCTTCGTCGGAGCAAAGGGCTAACGCTCGAGACGTCACGGTGGCCAATTTACCATTTCAACTTTGTTGATATATCCATAATATTTGTTTGCTTTCATTTCTTGTATCGTCTTTGTACCATTCCTCTCATCGTCTGATCTAACTCTAAATCAAATATGGCAGTCTTGCAAACAGTTTTGAACTTATTATGCCAAAGAGCTACTCTCTTCCCACAGATATAAATGGTTATCATTGAGTTACCAGAGGAACACCAAATGTTGAAGATCATTCATGTTGAGTTCGTTGTATTCCTGTGCCTTACCTTCAATCTTTTGTTTCCTTGCACTGTGATTTCTCGTTATATTTCCCTTTGCCTCCTGCACAGTTATGGTGTACTTTGAACGGTAGTAACACGTGAAAGGAACGTGCAATTTGAGCCCTTGCGATACTCCCACATGTGATTCATTAAGTGATCTCGCAGAATTCTCCACAGCATTTGAAAAAGAAATGTGGTGGCCTCGGGTTCCGCGAGTTGTCCCGCAGCCTCGAAAAGGTACTCTAAAGAAAGCACTGCCGTTTGCGACAGAGTATGGCTTACATGATAACCGCCGTAAACGCAGAGTAGATGGCTCGATGTTAGGAATGTCTCCTAAGTCGATTTTCAAAAAGATGAAGTTGTGAAGGCATTGTAGCTGAATTCTTTCTTTGGGTAAACTCGGTGGCGAAGATAGAACTGAAAAATTAAATATGTAATGCTAGTCTTTAGAACACAAACATTGCAAATGTAACTAGGCTAATGTTCCTAATGGTTTTTCCTTGATGGCACTTTTCTAAATTTTCTGTTCGAGACATTCCCTTTTACGGTAATAATGTACCTTTTAAAATTTAAAGTATCTCAGTAAATTGCCTGAAGAACAATACTGGCGTGTCAAGTGTGGAGTGTGTAGGTGCGTGTACGTCCAATTTCGTTTTTGTTTTGATTTCCTTTTATTAAAAGGAATAGAGACAGCTTTACCCTAGACCCTCATTATTTTCTATAATTTTTAAGAGATTATAATGGGACGGCTCGTTCTTAGCTGTTCCTAACAAGATATGGAAAAGACCTAGATTTATTATATAATCTAAGTAAAGATTTTTTTTTTAATATGAAGGTCACAGTGTTTCAAAATTAATTATATGCTTATAAAATGAAATTTGCTCACAGCTTAACGTCACCTTCACGGAAGTCTGCCAAATCAATGCAAGCTGACAAACAGTATTTATAATTTATCTTGTAATTTGTTTTGATGCAATAATAAGCTTTGAATTCCTTCGTAATTAGCCAAAGTTACAAGAAATAAAAATTCTTGCTCAACTGCAATTTTTTCTGTGGTATTTTTTTTTTTTTTTTTTTGCCAAAGTTACAAGAAATAAAAATTCTTGCTCAACTGCAATTTTTTCTGTGGTATTTTTTTTTTTTTAAGAAACATCATAATTATCCACTCAGTCGAAAAACTATGTTTAAGTGCACTTTCAACAAAAGTAGGTAGTTTTTAAGTCTCGAACACAGAAGTCTGCTTCTCTCATAAAATTTTATTTCAGGTTTCTATAGAGCTTCTCGTAAGGAAAACGCACGATGTTCATTTTCAAAGTGGAAGTCTAGTAGGGTGCAACGTTTCTTTTGATATGAGATTTTCCATTTATTTTTCTGCGTGAGCGATAATGCTCATACATTATTGAACGTTTGAGTGTTAGACTCGTATTATCGGTCAAAATGCTTTAAATGTTTTTCTGAGGACATCCAAGTGGTCATTCTTTAAAAAAACGAATTTTGGACCAATACTGCTCGTTCCAATTGAGCATAAATTGTGGTTTTCAACAAATTTCGTATTATAAACTTGTGAATGTTTAACCATTCCTAATAATTCTTTTACTACGGTATGAAGTGTACGTTCGTAGCATCACACGTTAATCACACTGGGTAGCAAGATTTGAAGTTGATGGATTATCTAATGTTTTTGTATCAAGTTTCGGTTATATTGGCTTGAGAATGCACTTCAAGTCACGAAACGTAATAATTTGTATTTAAAAAAAAATGAGAAATGAAAACAACACCAAAAATAAAATGAAGCAGCCCAAGAAAATGTGAATTATTTAACAAACTCCCAAACCTTTGTAGCTTTCCCATACCTTTGTCCCATAGCTTTGAATAATTTTTTTTTTTAAACAAAACCTGATGTTACAAAGACCGGGGTTGAAATATATAGAAAAAGGATACAAATTAAAAGAAAAGCAGAATTAAGAGTCATTTTCAACTACAATACAACGTGAAATTATATCATAAGGCATTTTTTTCATATCGCCGTACAAGCATCTTTATCAAACACTTCGTCAGAGCGATATCATGAGCCTACCTCCAATTACGTTTGAAGTTACCGCTGCAGCCAAAACAGCGATGATAAAATACGTCTTCATGTCTTGTACAGCGACTCACTGGCCCACTTGTACGTATATGCTTAGTTTCCAACCTCGATTTTCATACTTGTCTATCAATATCTAGGTGATATCTTATTCACTGGGGTCATATTGGGGAAGAATTGTCATTCCAGCCTTCCTAACAAAGTCTATTATTTAGAGAAACAGAAAATGGTTTCAAAGAAAAGGATTGGCGAAGATTATTGCCGTAGCCTCGGAATGAGCATAACTGACGTAGAACGGGAGAGGCGCCAGGCACGAGCTGAGGCAACGCTGGTCAGAATTTAATTGGTATTGCTGGCAAACCTGCAGGGTCGATGCAGACAAACTGTGCCATTAATTTGGCGATTATATGCAGAGGCTCTCTATTTTAAATCATTTTTTCCTTTATTCTTATGAAGATCTTTAAACGTTAACCTGAAGTTTCTTTCTGGGTGAAAGTGAAGTGAAGGATTTTTTTCTGAAAGAATTACATGGAAAATAATTCCTTACTGCAACCTCCATCGCTTGGTGAATCGAAAAGTTCTTCAATTTACATACCGAAGAGATCACCAGCTGAAATTTTCTCTAGATAATCTGAACAAACAGACACCTCTGATTTCTGTCAAACAGTTCCTTTGTATCTTATTAGTGAAAGTTCTCTTTATTCAGGGAAAGATTGTTCAACTATTGCATCATCCAATTGGCTCAGCAGGAGGAGGTTTCATCTCATTGCTGTTGTCAATGGTCTCCACCTTTGGAGGAGGAGGTTTAATCCTCGGTAACTTTGGAGGCTTGCGGTTCTCATCTGTCTGAAGTGTCATATTATAACCAATATCCTCTCTGAGCTGATTAATGGGCCTGGAGGCACTCCATGTAGACTTGACTTCATACTCTGTTGTTTCCTCAAACTGACCTGCCATGATTACAAATAGAGTAATTTTTAGTTGAAAGTTGAAAGTAATCTAGGTTTGCATTGATAATGCTTTACTATGCTCTGTAATTAAAGTAAAAAGAAGGCACTAATCTCCTAATCAATAAAATCCAAATTTAAAACGATTCACGACTTCATCCATCGCGTTTCACCGGGCTTCAGGCAGTTTGGTCGCATCCACTCAGAGTTCCTATTGGCTCTTTGTAATATTTCTTTAGTTCTGATTGGCTGTTTTGATTACTTTACCTTTGGCTATTACAAGACTCTATGAATGTGTTGTAATATATAAAATAAATCACTTTTATCTTTGACTGACAGGTGAAAAAAATGCAGTAATCACCACCGATATTTATTAGTTTAAACAGAGAGAGAAGCTCAATAAAAGAATTCGAAGTGACGCTTCTTCAGTGTTTGAAGTAATACATTTCCGATTTTATCAGAGGAGTTATAATCAGCTGACCGCCAGAAGCCAATGTTGGCAAAAACGCAAAGGTTAGAGCGACGTCAACTTGCTTTCCTTAAGTAAACTTGATCACGTTTGATATATTTGAGCTACAGATAATGGGTGACGAATTGATCTTCATGTTTAATTTTTTTTAAGACTTAATAATTACGGAAGCTCCTTTTACCCCCATATAACCCAGTTAGAACCAATTTGCAACTGACCTGTCATGGTGAATGTGTACAGATCCTCGTTGGTAAGGATGTCAATGAGTTCCTTGGACGCAGGGTACCTTTGCCTCATGGCATGCCATTGCCAGGGAAGTAAGTTCTCTTCGCTTTGTTCCTTCAATGCTTCGTAAAAAGCCTTCTGAGCGTCACCAAAGTTGTGCTTCACGACTACACGGTCGCCGGATCCGCGATGCTTCGAATGAAAGTTGGTAGAATCTCCATTATAACCACCTCCCCATCTCATGTAACCCTCCAGAATGACTGAAAACTTGGGAAGAATCTTGGCCGTATAAGGAAGTGTAACTTTTTGAGGCTTTTTGATCGCACGCCATTCGGAGAAAGATCTTTCGTGGAAAAAGAAAAAAAAAACAATGAAAAGAAGGTGATTTTTTTGCTGGCCATTATAATGGACATAAATTAAGTCCATGAGCTTCATAAAATATTATACGAGATTGTTATACATTCTTGTATGTTCAATCTGTAGTCATTGCAGTAGCACGGGGCGATTAGAGGCATGCAGGACCGCCACTCTTCTTGCGGGTTTGTCACAGCTTACTACTCCATCCTTTACCCCCACCTTTTTTCTGGGTTTGTCCAACAACTCGCTGGTACTCATCAATACTCCCGGATGGAAAGGGCACGGGTTTTTTACTCGATAACACAATTTAACGACTGCTGCTAAGGCTCTAGAGTACGCAGAGGTTCCCATTTAGATACAATCGGTGAACCTACACATCTTCCGCATGTTATAAATCTAGAGGAGGAGATGATCTATTTTAACAAGGAATCCATGCGACACTTCTCAAAAAACCGCTCGTATATCATACACAGTACTTATTTTTGTCACAAATCTCAGTGACTCTTCGCGTCTGATAAAAAAAGGCATGCATTGGCAAGGTCAAGTCTTGAATCTAAGTTCGTTCTTCTAGCAAAACAAGGGATGGAAGAATTGTATCTGTTCTCACCTCTTGGGTAATTCCTTTGACTCAGTTATCTTGATGATGTGCCAGTCTTCGTCCGCGGAAGAATCTTCCTCATCTCCGCCCCATTCGTACTTAAAGTTTGTTTTAGCTGAAAATCCCACACCACCAGTTGTACTCGGTGGCTGGTATTCCAAACCCACTTCGAGACCAAACTTCGAATCCCAGGTGGTCGTCTTAACATTCTTCAAAGTGCGAGCGACTCTAAATTCCAATTCAACTTCAGGTGAGTATGGTTCATCTCTGTCATTTATAGCCTTCCTGGTGAAACTTTGCAGAAACTTTTCGTCCTCTAAGCTAAAAGTCTGTGTCTTAGATTTGCCAAATATCACGTCTTTCATGGCAAAAGTGAAGTTGCCATAATAAATCTTCAAGCGAACTTCTTTCTTTGGTCCTTCTCCAAGACATGGATCTCTGTTACTGGACTCCCAGGTGTCTCCTTGTCTCTGGAAGTCCTCCCCAGTGTACTGCGCCCAGCATCCCCCTGCCCAGGCGTAACCAAGGTAACCACCCAACTGACCAAGGTAATTCATGGTAGTGTCCATTACACGCTCTTTAAGTTTTTTAATCGACGTAAGTGGTAATATTTCTGCAGGGGAAAGACATTTAGATCCCATTAAGATCATATTAGGATCCTATTGGATCCTTTTAGACAGTTGGATCCTTTTAGACTATTAAGTTACTTAAGTCACCATAGCTCGAGGGTTTATCGCAATATACAAATCTCCTTAAAGGGATGGAAACGACAGACGTATTGTATCTTGCTCTGCGATTAAACACACAATTGTAAACGCAAACTATTGTCGAGCCATGCTACCATACCTGAAGCCATTTTGCAGCATTTGAACTGTACAATGTTAGACAGCTGGTTTTTTCCTGATGTCGTTTTAAGCCCAGCAATGAAGTGTCCCTCTTGTTTGCATTCACTGAGGCCAGCTTTGTTGAAGGAATTACTGACATCTTCGTTGTAGCATCCATTATATTCGTATGGATGGTGAGAAGGTTTGCAACACTTGCCCCATTCAATGTTTCCAATGTTGTGGTTTTCTCCACGATATAAACCACGAAGGAAAAATCCAGGAGGACAGAGGCTCCATCCTTTACTACTCAAAGATAAAGACGACCAAAATCAAGTTGCTCTTCCCGGAACCATAGACAGATACAAAGTCTTTATTGATCAAACTACTCCTCACTCATTAGCTTCGGTTGCTTTTGCTTCCTCCTCTGATCGTTTTGTCTATATAGAAATAAACTCTAGTTGTTCTAGATGTGTAGTTATTCTCTACAAGAATTACCCACATTTTCATTAACGAATAAGCGTAAACGAAAATGTGGGTAATTCTTGGAGAGAATAACTACACTTCTAGAATAACTAGAGTTTCATTTTTATATAGACAAATCAATCAGAGGAGGAAGCAAAAGCAACCGAAACTAATTAGTTCCTGGAAAAATTGGTGGTACCTATATAAGTTATGGTAAAAAGCTGAATGTGTGCACAGGCAGTGCAAGTGCCTTGTACTGAGCCATCAAAAGTAGCTCCAGCAGTTGTTGTACGTGCAAGAGTTTCCGTGATATGTTACTCTTACCCACTTCCCATCCTGTCAATCCAGTTTGGCATTTGGCATTGTGTTGGAACGGTCCAGAAGGTTTGATCGCGTTGACAGCATTTTGTCTTTTTAAGACCAAGTAGCGAATCATCATCAGACCTTTCAAAGCCTTTGATATAGTAGTAACCATCTCGAGATGAGCAACTTGTAAAACCAGATTGGCTAAATGAACTACTCCAATCCTCCAGATTACATTGGGCTGCTAAACCTGCAGGCAGAAGATACCAGAAAACCCAGGCTACTCAAGAAAACGGTCGACAAAAACATTTCCTCTTTTCTTTCGCACTAATAGTAGTTCCAAAATCTTCGGAGGATTCTTCCATCCTTCGGTGAATGCTATATTTCTCATCAAATATCAATCAATCCTCGCGGAGTGTAACTCTCGAAAGGTAACATCTGTAGCTAATTCGTCATTATACCTTAAAATTACATTGCTTTTTCATATTATCCTAATGAAGAACGAGTCAAGCCATCATGTCTGTTATAAGAAAAATGACAGAAAGCTTGGATGATGCAAAATAGGCTAATGTTATTTTTGTGTTGTTTTTTTTTTTGTAATCACTTACCATCATGAATGAACATCAAGGACCATACGAGTAAAACCGGTTGTGTTATATCTTTCATTTTGTATGGTACTGTATTTTATTGTCCACTGAAATAAAGACTTTAAGAACAAAGATGTTTATAAAGGCTGCGATGTTGGATGTATACATGCCGGTATGCTTATAGAGCCCGTGCATCAAGGCCAGGTTGTTCAAATTACGATGAAGCTAAGCCAATACTTAAAAGTTAGATTTAAAATAGTAGTAGGGAAGTATGACATTTACAAAATGGGGGATAAAGATCCTTTTAGAAGATTATTCACCGTTTTCGTATCATTTTCTCTTAGCAACGTACTGCAGAAAAATGAAATCCATACCCACTACCGTGATCTGCTTTTCTTTGTGCCTTTCTTCAATAGACACCACGATGTTGACAATGGTAGTGGTTTTTGTGTCAGCGGGATATTTTGTCTTACCTATAAAACTAGACATGAACGTTTCCCTCTTTAAAGTTATGGACTTTTCTTTAAGATTCGAGGCACTGGTAGAATGATAGAGCTCACCACACGCAGATCAACTTGGAGAGGAACATGGTTTATATACGCTAGTGAGGACTGAAAATACTTTGTACAAAACCATCTATGTTTTGAAGAAGTCTTTGTGTGACAATTAAGTAATCTATTCTTTCTAAAGTAGTTTACTTATTGATTACATGATCACACCTGACCTCCTCATAATTACTCCTCCATCCATATAGCAGGTCAATCGATGTTAAGCGAAGGAAAGGAACTTTTTTGGCAATCGTTTGAAGGCAGTTGAACAATTATAACCTGATTAAGTTCTTGTAAAATCGGTTGTTGGCATAGCATGGTATCAGTTCAACAGTCTACACTTTAAAGTTTTAAATCAGCCACCCAAGAAACAGGTTTTTCTAAAGGTAAGCAAACAAAGGTTATTTTTCAGGGAAGCGTTTCAATATGTGCTCTAACTCTTTTAGGTTTTGTAAATAATCTTTATGAAATAAACTTAATTACATAATTACGGCTATAAGTCTGCGTCTTATTTATCGATAAACATCTGATGTAATTGATAACGACAACTTCATTTTCCTTTTTATTGTTTGTTTTTTTTCCGCTGAACAGAATTTGACAGCTTTCTGTACGCTCTGTTGAAAGGTCATGAGTGGAAATCAATAAAACAAAAGCATTGTAATAAATCTGTCATGATCGCTAATCCGTTAACTTTCATGATTTGCCGACAAAAGTACGATGTCTGTCAAAAGTCTGCGGACACTGTACTATTGACTCTGTTGGACTTAAAACAATTGTAGAACCTAGCCATCACAAGTTTCAAATATGTCGCAAAGATTCAAACGGTGAGAGTGCCATTTCAGTTACTTTTTATATTTGTTCTTACAAAAGAATTGATCTGTTGCAAGCGAAGACTGAGAAATGCCTTAGTTTGTTTGCTCAAACTCCATTCAGCCAACGTCGGGGTCCTAATTTTTGACATGCCTTTCATTTGGTTGCCTAATTCGAAGATTATCTCATTATGGAGAATGAAGATTACACTTATGGTCGTACAACGCGATTAACTGTCGCACATTCTCCACAGGTCTATCTCTACTCGTCAGTTGCTTTGCCACCCTTTTCAGCCCAGTATGGCGATGTATTTTTCATGTTTAGCTTTGATTGTGCTTGTGATTAACAATGCGACATCAGAAAAACTCAGCTGTAGCACTGAGAGGCAATTCGTCAAGGATCTTGAAAAAGATGGTTACGCTGAGTGTCCAGATTCGAAGCTCTACCTTGAAGGGCTAGCAGTAACAGCAGCAGGAGAGAACTTGAAGGACTTAACTGCGGGGCAATGCTGTCAACCACCACCTCCTCATCCTAATTGGCCATACACCTGTCACTCCTCCGACTGGGACCTCAGCTTTAGCAAGTAATGTAGTAATTTTCCCATCAATGTAGCATACCTATACATTCCATTCCCCTTTTGACAAACGACAAAGCCAAACCACAGCTGTACTATCTTCAGGTCTCATGGCGAGATAGGGTCGTTACAAGAACCTCTTTATCCTTAAGGGAGATTTTAATATAGACAACGCGAAATGGCTCGAAAAAAAGAAAAGTTCTTTGCTATCGCTTGAGAATTTACATAGGTTAGGTTCTGCAGACCTTGTTCCCTCATGTTCAGTCATTCTTTCCTTTCATTTTTTCACTCTGACCGGTGAACTACCAGTCTACGTTTTCCACCTCAATCGGCAGAGGAGCACATCCACCTCTCCTCTCTCAATGCAAGATCTTCTTAATGCCAAATTTTTCCCATGTGCAGTTAGAACGATTAGAGGAGCTACCAATTAGTTATCGCATCTGTTACAACGCTTTTTGTAGTTGTAGTTTTCTTTTTTGATTGGTTTCCCATGATCCTTTTAACTGTTTGTTTTGTTGCACAGAGAGGGTTGGGCCACATGCCCGTCGGGGTTCTTTCTTCGCGGGTTTCATCGAGGATCTGGTAGCGACCTTAAGAGTATTAAGTGGGGAACCTGCTGCAAACCTGCTGTGCATCCATACTGGTACCCAGACTGCTATGACGAGGACGTAGGTCAAGGCAACCTGAGGCAGTGCACTCGGGACAAGTTCCTCTTGGTGGGATTTTACAGAGGGGCAGGGGAACAGCTTTCGAGCATCACAAAGTTCCGGTGCTGCAAAATGCTTGAGGGTAATCTGGAACAGATTCAAAACCTCAAAGGGGTTCCCATATAAATTAATTTTTCCCTTCATTTCAAACACCAATTTTCATGTTAACATCATCTCTTATATCACTTCAACTGAAAACTGCGGCCAGGACATGCTTTGTTACCGGAAACCAATACCATCAAAATAGAGGAAAAAATGAATGTATCTGGATGTCACAAAGAGAAAAACAGTTCCAGTCCTAACAGGATTTACTCTACTGTGGGTACAAAATTAAGCTATAAAAATCATCTACGTTACGTCAAAAATAATTTGGTCTAATAATAAACTTACACTTTAATATTCCTAGAAGAGAGAACTCTGACGTCACTAGAACAAGCAAAGTCCCGTATCATGGACGTCACCTTGAAGAATCTAGGGTCGTTGGCGCATGCGCTGGGATACGGTTGGACTGGTGGCTGCAGAAGCAGGTGGCCTGGAATTGATTTTAAAAGAGATGGGGATACATGGATATCTAACTATCAAGAACCTTGCGAGGGATTCAAGTCAAACGACCGTCTTAAGATCATTTACGAAAATTTCTCTTTTAAAGTCAAGAATATGGACTACGGCAAGCCTGTTGTGGACTCCATGAAGCCAATTCTTCAAGATGTTGGGGAGATAAAGAACAAAGATTCTTTGCCTTCTAAAACTACAATCACTCGTGAGATCAAAACCGTGCGAACCGTGATCCATTCGTCAACAAGCAGATGGAAGTCTGGGCTTGGTGCTGCCATCTCACTAAAGTATACCTCTGGAGTAGCTGCTGGAGTTGTGGCGGGTACCTTCAGTGCGTCAATTACCTTGTCAGGTGAACGAGAGAGCGGTGAGGTGAATAAAGACGAGAATGGACAAATAACCTGGGATATCATGAGAGTAAAGGAGCCACAAACAGTCAAAGGGCTCAGTGGGACAAAATATAACATAAACGTGGCCAGGAAGAACGTGACTGTACCCTATACTGCTACAATACAGGTCCAGTTTAGCGCTAAACTGGTAGGATTCCTCCGTTGGGGTGGTGGCAAAGGAGGCGACAGTCCAAATTTCCATGAAAAATATCAAGGTTCGGAAGACCGACCCGATTTCTCCTACGCTATAGGAAGTTCCAGTGAGCCTTTTTATAAGGTTTTGAAGAGGGAGAGCCAGAGAGATGATAAGCCTTGGTTGTGGAACGATATGAAGCAGCAGTATGGTGAGTGGCTTCCAGGAGTCATCGAAGCCCTCACTGACGAAACCCTTTACGAGTTCAAGTTAGAGGGAAAATTCTATGACGTGTCTGGGCTGAGTTGGGATGTAAAATGGTCCGACGTACCGATTAGCTAAGAACTTTCGTTAAAACGACACCATGGGATAAGGGTTTTTTTGTTTTAATTTATGATAAACATGTGCACTTGTTTAGAAAAGTATTTTTCAAGAAATGACTGAAAACGAATAAAGTCAAAAAACGATTACGCCTTAAGGATTAGCTCACGTACCTTATTTGTACGCTTAGTTAAAGTTGTGTAAGAGGCGGGAAACAAAGAGGATACATAGAAGATACCTTTGATCGTCTTTGCTGCTTGGCTATGAAT